TAAAACGTAGACTTTAAGACTGTGTGAACACGAGTGCATTGGAAACAAAGAAATTAATAATTACCTTTTCCAAGATAGGACAAGATGAGAAACAGGAGGAAAAAAATATATAATCAATGCTTGTAAGCAAATAGTCATAGAATTGAAACGTACAATAGTTTTTAGGTGATAGACAAATTAAGAAGCTACAACATTCAAATATAGATTACAGAGATTTTTTTTCTCCAAAGCTAAAATAACATAGTCAAAGTTTGACATTTCCTTTTCACTGAACAGCAAACTGTGCTATCTTCAATCCACTGGTGGCAATAGCGTGTATAGTCTAGTAAAGCTAAGTACCAGAACTTAAGTGCAGAATTATTTGAACTATTATCTGCAGAAGTTATAGTTATTTGTACCTAGTTCTCGCAAATTACCCATAATACAAGTGACCCGAGATTACTGAGGTGGACAAAAGAGCTCAATATTTCAAAAGTCATGTGTTTTGGCTGTGACTGATGGCGTAGATAAATAACCTACGGTTCACTGTCACTGTTATTGTTCTGCAACGAAACTCAAAACTACAACTACATTGTAGACTGTTTTTTTTTAAAATTAAACTTCGCTGTTCACGTTCTTTACCATTACGATCCTTCCCACTAGAGCTTAATGTTTCATGCAACGCTGTAAATGTCTATTTGTCTATTAAGAGCGCAAAGTACGTCATTGCCAATTCGCAAAGTACATTTTGAGGGTGGCAATGACTGTTTGTGTTCGTAATACACACAAGATCTTTCCTACCACCGTAATTAACGTATCGTAACTCACAGATTAACTGTTTAGTTGTATTTAAAAGGTTTTATAGGCTATGTTCGCTTTTTAGGTTATGTTATTTGCTCACCGGTTGTTAACGTACCGGATCCGCGATTGTGGTTGGTGTAGAAACACCATCAGTGAAATCGGCTGATTGGCGAGCGGGAATGACTGATTCCTGCTCTTGGGCATAAATGAGCTATTTTGCGTACTATTGACTGGTGTGACTATGTTATAATTTCCATGCAATCTTATGAAAATAAATTTGTGTACATCCATAAAAGACCGATGAATAAAAACAAAAAAATTTTAAATTTCGATTTAATTCACTAAACCAGTTTTAATAGTTGGCTACAGTTTTATCTTGTTACCTACCCCAATAATTAAGCTACTGTTTTAAAGGTAGAATTAAGTGAAATGGATCGATTTCTTCCCCCAAACCACCTATATTCTGTGAACAAAGTACAATCATGATGGAAAATGTCCCAAGTAATCCTTCAAATACCATGAACCGACCATAAAAAAAGAACTTCAAACAAATGACTCTTGCCTTAATTTATAAATGAAATTATTTGTGTGCACTTATTACAAACCTTCTGCGATAAACCTTATGACTTATAAAAATAAGGTTCAACTCACATAAATAAATGTTAAAACTACTGCAGTGATAGCGAGAGTAATGACTATAATGTGGAGTGGACGCATGTTTGAGATAGGTATGATAGGACAGTCACGGATAGCTTGACTTTGATGGATCAGGCTAAACTTTACATGAGAGAGGCCTGGGAAGCATTACAAAGCCTTAACATCGTGTGAAAAAGTTTATCTTTTAGCCCTGTGAACTGGAGACTAAAAAACTACCTATTTTATTATACTTCAATAAAGTACTTACAACCTATTATTAACGTATTTTGTTTTGCTACTTGTTTGGTACAAGTTATGATTAAAAATATTGTCTACTCTTCGGGGTTTCAAATTAAAGGCCAATTAGGATAAATGGGTTGTCATATTCAACTTGCATAAACACATTTTTTGTGTTCCTAAAGTGCATAATTGTGAAGGAGAACTATTTCAATTTTATTTTATACACTTTTCCAACGCTAAGGGTTATGACTACATATGTTTCGGGAGGTAAGGACAAGCCAAGGTTAGTAGAGAGACCTCTTGTTTTCAAGTGACTTGAATATCTCATTACCTTATGAAATGTAGGCTAGTGTAGTCAAAACACTTAGCGAAGTAAAATTGCATGATTACAATTTTAATCATTGTGTGTGTAAAAAAACCTTGGTAAAGCAGCGGAGTTTTTTATGGTTGCTATGTTAATTTGTATTTAGATCAATATGTAGAAGCTTTTATAAAACTGATGTGAAAGGTTGTAAATTCCATTATTTTCCAAGAAAAACATGCGTATGTACATTAAAAAAGCGGTAATCCTTCATTATTAAAATTAAAATGCATGGATTGCCCAGATTTTTTAATTGGACAAACAGTTAGAGCCTTTACCCAACTGCACAAAGAACATCGCCCCGACCCCAGAGCAGACAAACAAAAACATGCTTTTCCTCAGCAAATGGATAAAAATCACACCGTAGATACAACAATAGCCTAGAAACTCTTCATATTTATAACAAGGAAAATAAATTAGATTCTCCAGAACAATTTTCAACATACAAAGACTTGGTAGATTCTCCTAGACAGTCACTGTAAAACCATATTTTAAACGACCAGCTAAACTTCAAATCTCACTCAATTTTATGGACAGGAACAGGTTGACCTTTTTAGTACAATTAATAAGGGATCGGGGTCACATAATTCCAGCCAGTCTGTTTCAACGTTGGTCTGTCTCCGTACCGCGACCAGTAAATACTAGGTCTACTCAAAATGTTTAAATGCGTTTCCGTTTTATGTGTATCTATTTTTATTAATTGACGAATCTTATCTAGATGAATTATTCTTGTAAAGCTCACTTGACAAACCATGAATGAATAGGCGAAAATGTCGTGAGATTGAACACCGCTTGTTGAAATGTTGACGTAAGGTAATAATAGTCTAGTTCCTGAAATTGTCAAAACAATCTGTTCTTATCATTGTCCAACAAATTCCGGTTCTCTTATCAGTCAATTGCTCCACTCAACACGACTTTAAATTGGCTGCAATAAAAAAGTCCATTTATATTGTTTTTGTTGGACAACTAAGGTAAGTTGTATTAGTCTTATTGTTATGCGTTTGTTACAATGGACAGGAATTTGATTCAAGATTCAAGAGAGAGATTCAAGAGATTTATTAAACCATTCAGTGATAAATACAATATGTCAAAACTATGCTAAAAATAAATTAAACCAATTTATATAAATAAATGAAACATTCTCCATTACAAACCATGCTGAAATTGTTTAATATCACACAGCAAACAAAGCAGCAAACCAAGTAGTGATGGCAAAAAAACAAAACAAAATTGATGCAATCACCTCCGATTTAAATTTAAGTTTGATAATTAATTGTTAAGATATTTAAACATCCGCCTTCTAATGAAAACATTTTAACCAAATTCACTGAGCAAATGCATTTTTAACACAAATTTAAAAACGTATGATTTTTAAGCAAACCATAAGTTCCTATGCCGCAAAATTTTTTTTATTTGGATATTTTATTCTCAACTAAAGATGTTAATTAATTCATCGACATTTTCCATGCAAACATCTTCTTGGCGTGACGCTGGAGCCTGCCTTCGCCGGTTTGTTTTTCAGGATTGCACGTTAGAACACCCACCGTCTCGATGAGCGCTTTATGGTATCTAATTTTAACCGATAATGACGTTACACAACTATCGCCTATCGTAAATCGTGATATATCGATTTATCAGGAATCACTCGTATTCGCTTGCTTGGCTTATGATGGCTTATGAAAAGCTATTTTCTGGACTAATTCTATAACACAAATCTTTTGCTCTTAACTTTGGAATTATATTGACCCTGCTCTCTACTTGACTTAAAGCATACTTATTTGCTAGGTCCTTAGGCCCACTTATAGAACTACTTTCTTTTATTAATGAACTTAATCCATGGTCTTTTGGACCCATCTGCCCTAGATAATTGAGCTGTTATATACATTCCTTAGGCCTTGGCTAAAGAATCAGACGAATCTAGTCAGTGCAGTCAACAACGAATCTCCTATTCTTTACAATGGCTATTCATTTCTATGCAATCAAGCAGCGCCGATGGCGGATCGTATGTGATCCGAACTCTAAAAAACCGAATGTATCCTCGATCCTGGATATTCGGTCGATACCTTTATATACTGTGACGTCAGTCTCGGTCAAAATTAGCTACAAAAAAATCGCTTGGGACTATTCCTTGCGCCTCCCGTAAAACTCATAACCAAAACACCCAAAACTCTTATTTATTTATTTATTTATTTATTAAACACCAACGGCAAACACCATTTTACATTAGGTAGTTACAAAAAATATTATAAAGATATAATAATTAACAGAGGAGTAACAATGCATAAAAAATATAACAATGTATAAAAATATAACAATAACAAAACATAACAATGAATATATCAATAACAAGAATACAAACAAAATAGATCACAAATATTAACATGGGAAAAATCAACAACAAAGGAATAACAACAACAATGCTTTTATGGTGTACCCTCAAGGATGCTGTCAGCCGCAGAACGCCGAACCACCCCCAAGGAGGCAGTTAAAAGGTCCACAGAGCTGCTTATCACATTCCCGAGGCGCATGATCCGGGGAATGGGACTAGATCTGGCGTAGTTGGTCCCAGTATGGTCAAGTTCAAATACACGCTGATGTCTCGTGATTCTCGAAGGAACATGGAAGTTTATCCTTTCCAGCAAGAAGGGGCAGTTGACTTGGTTATTTATCAGTTTGTAGAGAAAGGTCACATCAGCCACTCGCCTTCTTCATAAAACTACTTCTACTTCTTCATAAAACACCCGTGACCATATCGTCTGGAAAACTCACCAACATCTTGCAGCTAAGTTTTAGATTAGGCCTAGCACCCCTTCCTTGGAAATGTGTAATTTTAGGTACCGTAAACGATTGGTCTCGCTTAGCGGGATCAATCATCTCACAAACACAACACGTTTAATTAAAGAATCTTACATGGCAGGAAAATGTTTTTTATTCTAATGTTAATTTGTAGTCAAGATGAAGCTGTTATTACTGTTCACCCTTTTTGCTTTGGGTAACTCCCACTACATCGCCTTCCCCGAGGAGGACGAGGCCCAATGGGAACTCTTCAAGGTAAGACATATTTTATTCTTGATCAAAGAACACTTTTACGGCCCCTAAAACAAATTAATAATATTTTTGGTAAGGTTTTTTCTAGCGATTTTACATGGTCACTAAATGAAAAACTTTTACATTAGTTATCTTTACCTAAAATTATAGTGAGTTACGAGTTAACATAACGTGCGAATTTTGAGGGGAAATCGTGTTCCCTAATTATTGGCAAATTTAGTTTTCTATCCTTTAGTTCCTTGTTCAGAATGGGTAAAAACAGTGGCCCTATTTCAACCGAAGACTGACTGGTTGGTTGGTCTACTAATTTAATGTATTAAGCTTCATTGAGTTTACCTTTGAAAAATTGAGGTTCCTTATAGACAATTTCTGCCTCTTCAAAATTCATACGATGATTTTCGGACCAGCAATGATGAGCGATTTTAGATTTTTCCACTATGCCTTTTTTGGTGTTTTCGTTGTGTTCTTTTATTCTAGTGTTCAATGGTCTTTTTGCCTCGCCATAGTAAGACCTGGAACAATCATTACAATATATTCTGTAATAGTTCTGTATATTTTTGGATTTTGTTTTGAAGAGACCTAAATGTGTTTCGTGTCCTAAACGCTGTTTGCACTTTGCATTTCCTATCAACCCTTCTGATTTTCTACGATAACCCTGACTACGGCATTGGCATGTGGACGAACCTTTTCTCCCGATTTTGTAAAGTTTCACGCGTAGCCTTATCTTTCTTGTATTTATTTATTATGGATCAAGGGTATCCGTTACTAGCCAAATCCACCCTTCATACATTTTACACCCTTCAAAGTTGAATTTTTCCACTATGCGGTTGCATCAAGTTTTACGTAACACCAATAATTTTAAAAATTTAGCAATACCACCTGAATCCGTTTAAAAATGCTTCATAATCTAATTTGAAAGTTAAACACTGAAAATTTTCACTTTTAATGAAACTTTATGGCAACTTTTAAGTTTAAATAAATCAATGTTAATATATTAGTTAATTAGTTACATTGATAATGTCCCATTTCAGATCGAACATGAGCGAGTGTATGGAGATGAGAAAGAGGAGCACACTAGGAAGGAAATCTTCATGAACAACCTCAACTTCATCCGTGAACACAACAAGAAGCACGAGAGAGGAGAAGTTACCTTCACCGTAGGAGTCAACCAGTTCGCTGACATGGTGAGATGTAATAATATACAATTGACCTTAGTAATGAGGTGTATTGATACCATGATTATTATATTATGACTATGGTATGATCATATAGGTATGTTTTGCTAACATGGACCTATGTGGTGATATTGTAGTAACAGTCTATATGTATGATATTTTTCTCCACACTATGATGTTTTTTAGGTGTTTTGCAAACGTTAATTGGATGCTGAAAGCTATATATTGCTGTTCATGCTAACTGTCATCTTCATTTGGGGACAGAGCAGTTTTTTACATCCCTATTGGCCGAAAATCAGCTGTATATTAAACACAAACAGTATCCACATTATAAATTGTAATAGACTTGTTTTATCGTCACCGCTGCTTAGCAACTATTTATTATTATTTTTACCGATACCTCTAAATATATATTCACATAACCTTGAAGTTGCAGTTGGGTTGATTGTTGGTGTGCATATTGTATATATTTTCTCAATTTCGTATAGTGTGGTGGAAAATATCGTTCGTACCACGGGCCGAAAGGGGTTTGCATCTCTCGATAGTTTAAAGTTCTCAACTTTGTCTCGAACTTAAAAAAAATGATCTCGAGCCGGCAAAACCTCATTTTCAGCACTAGGTACGAAATATACTATATTGTGAACGTTTAAGCTCACAACAGTACATACCATGGTGACGATGAAAAAAAAGAGTATGAATGCCAACTTTATATTTCCATAGCACATCGTTATTATGCTTTAAGTAGACGTGCATTATACAATTTAAGTACTATTTCACTCTGTTCGTTGTCTATAAAAATGGTTAGTGTCATCCAAAACTTAAACTTGAGAATTTTGATGAAAACAATCTTACTTCCTTAAACTATGTCTAGGGATGGGACCATTTTGTAGAGCTCAAAAACACAAATAATTTAGTATATTGAAGCATTGTTGTATGCCTAACGGTTATGGAAAAATCCCAAAATAGTGTAAATTTAAAATGACCATGTAATTCTTATGGAGAATAAATACACTGTTGTAGCTTGCTTGTCTATAGACATATTTTAATGAAATTTTGTTACTTTATACTAAGCTATCAATATTTCAATAAAAACCCACTATTTTCTTCCCTGTAGCAGCAAACCTAAGTACTTACAGTATTAATATTAATGATATTTAAATAGGAAATAAATCTGACAATATTAAGGGAATAATTTAGTAGAATTCCAGCCAGTCAGATGGAATTTCACTTAGTCTGCAGGTTAGCTGTGGCAGGGGTATTATTACGGAAATTATTTAATATTTTTTTTAATTTTTGAAAAATCATAGAGATATTATATGAAGAGATAAATTCAAACCAATACATAATAACTTTGTTTGCAGTTGTATACTCTTTCAAATGACACTTAAATCTTGTTTTTACTGTTTATAGTCACAAAGCCTTAGCGATTCTTGTAAAAGTCTACAAATTTCGTAAACAGTGGTAGAGGGAAGGGTGGGTGGTTCACGAAGGGTCAAAAACGGGTTACATTCAAGTAGAGTTGATATAGATAATAAAGATAAAGATTTTTCAAAATAATACATAGGCTAGCTAAAAATGTATAATTTTTAGTGGGACCTCCACTTAAAGTAGACGCGCATCATACAATTTTAAGTACTATTCCACACTGTTCGTTGTCTATAAAAATGGTTAGTTCCATCAAAAACTTCAACTTGAGAATTTTGGTGGAAACAATCCTACTTCCACAAACTACATATAGGGATGTAAATCAAAAAGCAAAAGTTGAACTTTAACGTATAAAAACTCTGTGATATTACTATATCAATTTCCTAGCTAGGCTATGAATGACAAATTCAGTCATCAAAAGTCAATGGCTTTTTATATATAGCTAAATTGCTTTTAGACCAACGAAGAGTTCCGCCAGAGGATGAACGGAATCAGACTGACCGAGGACTACCAGAGAAGCGGAGAGAAGTTCGAGATCGACGAGAATCTGGAAATTCCCAAGAGCGTAGACTGGAGGAAGAAAGGAGCCGTAACCAAAGTCAAGCACCAGACCTTCTGTGATTGTAGCTATGCCTTCAGCGCTGTAAGTGGTACCTGGGGTGTGTGTTGTTAGTGTAGAAATTACAGATAAAATAGATATTTTGTTTATTCTTCGTCAAGAAAGGGTGGGACTGGTGGGGAAGGATTGAGTGTAAGGAAGGAGGTAAAAAGGGAACGTTTGTAAGCTTCTGTCCAAAGGGAACGGTCCAAATGGCGGTCTTGGTACTGTCAACTTTTTGCTAATTACGATAGTTATTGTTACTATTATCATCCACCTTCACTGTGGTAATTGGATTGGATACAAAATGTGATAGAGTAGCCTAACAAATAGTTTAAACTTTCCACCAACTATCCCAGGCAAATTAGCCCAAAAAGAGCTATAGCTCCTAAAAATTGGAGGAATGCAGGAAATCGTTTATCTGTTCTGGAGATCCTAAATAAAGAAATATGAGTTTACGAAAGATTCCGAAGTGAGCTAAGTGTATGGGAGGCAAAAAACTAGACCGATTTTGCTAATTTTTTACCATTAAATTTCGCGTCGAATGACGTTAAAATCATTAAAATCGGTTCAGTGGTTCTGCTACAACAGGTCGTCCACGTTCAGTTATTTTAATATTTTCCTTGCCGTCATCCTTTTCTTGATGATTACAGCTTGTTCCGCCAGATGACAGTGTATGCTATAGTTTTCGGTTAAAATTACTGAACTTTGACAACCTGTTGTAGCAGAACGGCTGAACCAGTAACAACATTCGACGCGAAATTTAATGTTCTTTAGAAAAGTTCCACTTTTTTCTGTGGGATGCACTGTTTTTGAGTTATAAGTGAAAAACTAAATAATGAGCAAAAATCTGCCTAATGTTTTTCCTCCCATACACTTAGCTCAATTCAGAATCAGTTGCAAACTTATTTTTAACTTATTTAGGATTTCCAGAGTTTTAAAACGATTTCCAGCTTTCCCCAAATTTTTAGGAGTTACAAGTCTAATTTGCCTGGGCTACAACATAAATATAAAATAATTACAAAATGTATATTAGCCAAGTTTTTTACTAAATGTCGCACTACGAAAATTTGACGTAACTAACTGTTTCAGACTGGAAGTTTGGAAGGACAGACCTACCTGAAAACCAAGAAGCTGGTGTCTTTGAGCGAGCAAAACATTATTGACTGCAGCACCGATCAAGGAAACCAAGGGTGTGATTTTGGACGGATGAATGATGCATTCGAGTACGTCAAGGAGAACAAGGGAATCGACACCGAGGCTTCCTACCCCTATGAGGATGAGGTAACCTGTTATAAGGACGCAAGTCCGTTTATTGCCTAGTTTATAGAGGAGACCTATGGCTAGTCATAGGTCGTGGCACTTTAATATAGCTAATAGGCATTGTTGATTCAAAGGATTTTGACCCAAGACCCCGTTTTACAACTGAACAACTCACACCTCATCACTAGAATCTGGTTGAATTGTTCTTGCCTTCAAACTCATTGAAAATAATGTTAGATTTCGTTTTCGTATATACATGTTCAAACTATACCTAGACTAGTTGGATTTAATTGTATAAATTTGGCCTCAAATAATTTACCTTTTCACAACCTCAAGATTAGCTTTAAATTATGCTGAAAAGTAACATCTGGCTCATGTGTCAACTATATTTTACACCATTTTCTACAATGTTTCAAGCTTAATGTACCATATTTTTTACATAGATTAACCTTATAATTTGGTAGCAAAACAACATGTAAAAAATAATTAGGTGCAACAGGGATTATTTCACCAATACTTGAATTGAAATTAAAATCCTGAGATGATTGACCTCTTTTGATGTTGTTACAAATATAAAGTAGGGTTTACCTTCCTCAAATAGTTTAACAGTTTTAACATCCCAGCTAATTGACAATGGTAGGTAAAGCTTATTTTTTAAATTTAAATTTAAACTTTTTAAATTTTTCTAAATACCCTTATTGGACATTATTGTAGTGAAAAATATTTTCAGTAAGCCATGGCCATTAATTAGTTCTCTATTCTTTTCTTTACAGGAGGGCTCTTGCAGATACAAGGCCAAGAACAAGGGAGCCACTTGCTCTGGCTACGTGGATGTGACTTCATTTAGTGAGAACGCTTTGCAGCAGGCCGTGGCTAAGGTTGGACCAGTGTCTGTTGGCATCGACGGCAGCCACTCGTCCTTCCAGTTGTACAAGAGCGGTATTGTTAATCACAACCACACACATCAAGTATTTCTTTGAATTCGTACATCGTGTGTTCTTATTGGTCTTGCGTTTCTTACTCAGTACATTAAATGATTAAATATATCAACCAGAGTCCAGCTAACACTATGTGGCGAAGTTGCAGTATTTCTTAATGAAAATTAAAATATAACCCAATTTTCACGCGGAATCCAACGCAGATAATGAAACAGTTTATCCTCACTTTTTTGCATACCAACCGATCGTTCGAGGGAAGATGCAGACAGTGATCGACTCTCTGATACAATGTGATTGAATATTTGTGGGTGTATTATCTAGGAGATACTTTCATATGGCTCGTATTATGTAGCTTCGCTGAAGTTCTCTGTCATCATTTAAAATCAAATTTACTTCTGAGATAAAGGGTTTTTTCATTGACTCTACAGTATACACATACCGGTACACCATTTCTCCATGGAGTAATGGATCACTTTTAACGTATACTCTTCTTTAATATTTCTAAAATACGAACAGTACGTGATGTGGGTTCAACCATTGACTGTACTTCACAGTCGACCACAATCAGGTTTATATCGTGATGTGATTAGCGTTGTTCTACCGGGTACCTAGCCTTGGCACTGTTTATAGATGGTCAATGCTTTAAGTGTGAGAAGATGGTCTGTCTGTGTCTGTGTGATGGAACCTGCCCATAATATACACCTTCCTGGGAACCGACGTTTCAAAAAAGGTTTAAGGCCCGGATCAGGGTCATGAGACAGGGGCCATCATACAGATTATACCAGTGGCTCTGGCATTATACCCGAGAAGACTACGCTATTGGTAGTGTCCTTTTGGTGTTACTGGGCCTGAAGTTACGTCATATCCTATGCTAAGCAGATGGTGGTGATATGGCAGCCGACGTATTTGGGGGTTGGTAGGATTAGCATCATATAGTGACGCATGAGGGTTGTGACGTGGTGTCAAGGTCATTTGTTTGTTTAAAAAATGAAGCTATTCCGCACGGGGTGCAGTTGGTGGTTGCACAGTGTGGGTGCCTTTTTTACTTCAAGCTTTACACTTACCACGTGCTTAGCACAGAATGTGACGTCACTTCAGAGTCGTCCAAAGAGCACTACCAATATCTCTTTGCTAACTTCGAAATGTCCCGCAAGGTTGAATGTGTGATCTTATGGTTTCAGGAGTGTACAAGGATCCTGAATGCTTTGATAAGTACATAACCACTGGATTGCTGGTTGTCGGGTACGGAACTGTCAAGAGGGGAGAAGACTTCTGGTTGGTGAAGAACTCCTTTGGAACCAACTGGGGAATGAAGGGATACATCATGATTGCCAGGAACCACAACAACATGTGCGGTATTGCCACAATGCCCAGCTACCCCACAGTCTAGACTTAATCATGGCCAATGGACAGTTAATTGTCTTTACTTTGTTATTATTAAGCTAAAAATATCTTATTAGTAAACTGAAATTGCTGTATACATTTCACCCTACATTCCATCACTACACTACCTAATGTAAAATTGTTTTTGATCTAACATAAAACAGAATCGGTTACATTTCTTCTTATGTTTTGGTACATAAGTTTAAGTCTTTATTCAATGGCTTTATATGAATTTTATCTAGACATCAAACCATTCAAAGCTTTTGTTGGCAAAAATAAAAATAAAATCATTAGGTTTTACTATTTATTAGTTATTACATTTTAAATTGAAATAAATTAAAGATAAGTTCCTTTTTCTATTGAATCAACCAATTCCATCAACCTTTTCCCTCTGCATTTATCTGGTTCAAGTGATATTTGCTCAATCCTAAAAATAGAAACATCAAGGAATTTTATCGATTTGTTTTAAATAATTACTTAAATGTAAAGCTTAGAACGTTTGAACATATATTATTAGAAACGGATAAATAAATTAATTCCTGAGGCCCCTCCTATACTCTGCGGCGCGCCACACGCCACTGTGTCCTGCGGCCCTGTAAGTGCATCTAAGGCCGGCCGCACACCTGATACAGCACGGCACGGCAAGGCGAGGCGAGACGTCTTTGCCTCACCTTGCCGTGCCCGATGGAGATTTGAGATGCATACGGCACGGCACGGCAAGGCGACTTGAGCACCCACATGGTCGATCCCATGGTTTCAGTAAAGTGAGATACTGTGTGTTATGAGGTTGTTTGTACATTTTGTGACACTTTGTACAGGTGTGTACACACTGAATAGGTGTGTTCACATTTTGTGATAATGGATGCAGAAGGCGAAGAAGAGGCTGCTGCCATCGCTGCTATATGGTACCATTGACTGTTGTGTTTATATAGTCAATAATGGTACCTAATGAATGTAATGGATGATCTCCCTAAGAGAATCGTGGGTGCATCCTATCAACCAAAAAAGGAACTTAAAACCATTCATTGCAGAACTAAGAGCAGATCCGGAAAAATCATAATTACTAATCGTTGGAAGTGCACACTTATTTTGACCTGGGCTGTCCCTGCGCTGAACGTGGTGTCGATCCTCGCGCATGCGCACATCGTTTTGCCTCAAGCCTTTTGCCCGAAAGACGAAAATTTAAAAGGCAGAACAAAGCGCCGTATGGCGCTGTTTTGCCTTGCCTTGCCGTGCCCGATGATGTGTGCGGCACCCCCATTTGAAATAATAGAAATCTAGTCGCATAAGGCAAAACGTCGCGCCGTGCCGTGCCGTGCCGCATCAGGTGTGCGGCCGGCCTAAATAGGTGCACGATGGCGCACCTAGGAGCCGCAGAAACGTGCGGTCTCTAGGTGCATTAAATTATATGGGAGCTTCTATACTCTGCGGCGCGCCACAGCGGTGTTGTCAAGTGCTGCCAACTGATCAAAACAAACTCAGCCCAAAACGGTACTGCCTTGCCTCCCTCATTTCCCTTGTTACCAGTGTGGCAGGTGGTTTTGTTTTTTCTTTTCTGAGTATCAGTTTTAAACTTTTGTGTATGACAGAACCTACTATGAAGTCAATATTGAACAGTTCATCCACGAAATAGAATCTAGAAGTTTGTGGGATTGTTCATCGCAGGACTACACAGGGATTTCAAAGGGTCTCAGGATATTGACAGGAAGATTGTGTTGAATTCTACCAAGCCATCTCTTACTCACTAGAAATCAACACTAGTGGTGTGGTGAATTGAAATTCCCACTTTGGTATCCCTGATACCCACACCGATGTCATTGAGCACAAACCAGCGGCTTGTGGCGCGCCGCAGAGTATAGAAGGGGCCTGCACGCAAAGATAAGACAAGGGACAATAATATACAGTATAATCAAAGCATAAAGGAAAATGTCCATTGAATTGAAACGTATAATTGTTTTCAGGTGATTAACATTATAAACAATTCAATTAAAAGCCAGTAATAAAGCTCTAGCATTCAAACATACGATGATTAAAAGATTAAATATTTTCAAGTCCAATGACAAAATACCACATCCAAAGTTCAACATATCCTCTTCACTGAGCTGCAAACTACAGTATGTTATCGTCAATTTAAAGGTGGCAATAGCATTACTTGTAAAATCTAGTCAAAACTCGAGTACTACTTTTGGACCAATTAAGAAGTTATAAATAGGTGTAGTTATTGCTTACAAATTATTCACAAAACAAACGACTCCGAGATCATTAAGATAGACAACAGATTTCGATATTTTTAAAGTCATGTGTTTATGTTAGACTTGCAGTTTAACACGATGCTTTCCCATGCTAAAGATATATTTTCACATTCTTTATCCCTACAATCTGCCCCATTAGAATGTTTCCACACCGTACGTGTGAGCATAGCATAACCTATCGTACAGTTTTGTTTATGTGTGTTTGATTTATGTATTTAGTTCTGTTTATAAGTTACATAGAAACAGTATGAAGGTAAAAGTAGTAGGTGTTTCAGTACGAAACCTAATGATACATTTTGCTGCTTTTTGTAAAAAATACAGTACTTTGTCCAAAAATAAAACAATCAAAGTAGTAGGGTATTGCATTAGTTATATACACGATACAGAATAGTATATTTCGTACCTAGGGCCGAAAATGAGGTTTTGCCGGCTCGAGATAGTTTTTAAGTTCGAGACGAAGTCGAGAACTTAAATCGATCGAGAGCTGCAAAACCATTTCGGTCCGTGGTACGAACGCTATTTTTCACCACACTATACCCTATTACCACTATTCACCACTATAATGCACACTGATAGTCGACACAACTAAAATTTTGAGGTTATGTGAAGAAATAATTTAAGGAATCAGCAAAAATAAAAATAAATAGTTTCTAGGCAACGGTGACAATAACACAATTCTATTGCAATGCTAAGTATTTTGATTGTGTATTTAAAATGCATTCATGTTTTAAGTAAGTAAGCGGACAGCAGATTTTGCGGCCCCGGGCTGTAAAAACCTGCTCGGTCCCCAAATTACGATGACAGCTGGCATGGTCAGCAAAACGTAGCTTTCAGCCACCAATTAAAGTATGTAATACAGGCAAAAACATCATAGTGTGGTGAAAAATTTGTCACGAACTTAAAAACTATCTCGAGCCGGCAAAACCTAATTTTCGGCCCTAGGTACGAATATACTATTGTGCAATTAAATTTGAAGATGCTCAAACTAACAATTAACATACGCTGTTGTTTAATTTTCTAAAAAAAAAAAAAATATATATATATATATATATATATCACATAGGAGGCTATTTGGCAATTAGTGTTTGTTCAAATGTGTTTTAACATGAACTTAGTTTGTTTGGGAAAGGGAAGCAATGTTTAGGAAAGGCAAAAGTTTGTATGGGAATGAAAAGTAATACTCGTTTTTAGGACAGACGAATAATTCGTAATATGGATTAGAAATCGAAGATTTTGGGTTAGTTCGGCTGAACGGAAACGACCTAGTTTCGTGATGAAAGATTTATCCCTTATTTCAATAACATTATTGTAACGAGTACATCGGTTTTGCAGTTACAGGGAAGTTAATAATGTTTTTTTCACCACACTATGACGTTTTTGGATGTATTACATACGTTAATTGGTGGCTGAAAGTTACGTTTTGCTGGCCATGCCATCTGTCATCGTAATTTGGGGACCAAGTAGGTTTTACAGCCCGGGGCCGCAAAATCAGCTGTCCGCTTACTTACTTAAAACATGAATGCATTTTAAATACACAATCAAAATACATAGCATGGCAATAGAATTGTGTTATCGTTACCGTTGCCTAGCAACTATTAATTGTTATTTTTGCTGATACCTCAAATTATTTCTTCACATAAGCTTAAAGTTGTAGTTGTGTTGACTATCAGTGTGCATTATTATAGTGGTGAATAGTGGTAATAGGGTATAGTGTGGTGAAAAATAGCGTTCGTACCACGGACCGAAATGGTTTTGCAGCTCTCGATCGATTTAAGTTTTCGACTTCGTCTCGAACTTAAAAACTATCTCAAGCCGGCAAAACCTCATTTTCGGCCCTAGGTACGAAATATACTATTGTGAAATGTAATAGTTCAGTATCAAATAAATTCCAAAATTTCAAATTTAATCCAAATATGTTTACAAACAAGTAAGCCACAACCTTATTATTACTAGGCATGAGAATAACATGAAGATTGTAAATTTACATTTTACGTTTCGAATTGTCTCCTTAATTTTTACGTGCATATCAATGCTTTAGTATACACGAAATTATTTTTGTTTTTTAAAGCTCTAACGTCAATTTTTACCAATCCTCAATTTTGGGTGGTTAAAAAAACTGGTTAACAGACACAAAATCTTAAAAATAGGGATAATTTGGGCCCTTATAAAGTCCACTACAGTTTTGTTTGTGCATGAATAAAAGTAAAAATTAACTGCCCCCCTACCAAAACGAATTCCTGGATAGAATAATCTACGATTTAAGATAGAAATTTGAGAAATTTAATACAAATATATGTTACACCTTTGTTTTGGGCCAAAACACCCGGTCAAGTTTCAAAAAGTCGCATTTTAAAAAATTAACCCCCCCCCCCCGAGATTTTGAATTCCCCCTCTTGGGCTACAGGGAACGACCTTAAAAGTGGCTTGCATTAGTGTGTTGATCTGATCCATTTAGAAATTGCTAGTGACTTAAGAAATTTGCCAAGGGCATAGTAAATAATCTTAAATCTTGATATACTTACCCATCCAAAAATGTCCATGGGGCGAAACCCAAAATATTTTGTGATGCTCTTATATGTCGAACAAAATTGCCAGTTATTTTCCCTTGTATTTGAAATAGTATTCTTCTTGCTACTCTAGTACCATATTATTCTGGATATATTTACTGCAGCTGTTTGGTTAATTTTAATACATTTACTGTTGTTTTTTATAGATAAAATCTACACACTTCTTGTTATCTAGTCTCAATTATGACATGATCCATTATAACAGGATATGTGAAGATAATCATTTCCTGTCATTGCCAAGCCAATTCAGTTTTGATTGACAGTTATATCAGTCACTGATCCACTCAACAAGACTATAAATTGGCGGCAATTAAAAGACCTAGTTAGGTTCTATTTATTGGACAACTAAGGTAAGTTGCTACTTGTTCATTTATTGTATCAGTTTGATGGGAAATGCTTTTTGATGGCATTTCACCACGTTTAAAATTGTAGTTTGATAATGGTTGAAATATTTAAATATTCACCATCTATTGAAACTATTTGAATTAAATACACTGAGCGAATGTAAGCTTTAATTGGATATCATAAAAAAAATTATAGCTTTTAAGCAAACATGTTTTGCAATGTTCTTTTATTTATAGATAGTGTAAGTTGCCAAGCCACAACTTAAATTTAACGCAAGTGCATATAGACGGAACCGGTCATGGGTAAGAGTGACCTATGGTCCAAACCACGCCAGAATATATACGTTTTCAAATAATTAATGTGTAATAATGCAATGTAATATTTGTTGATAGTTAATGTTTCAATAATTAAGTTTGTTTCTTTGGGATTGCATTTATTATGGAATATGTTTTTTCTTTACAAGAATTTTAATATATCTACCATTTGTATGCATACATCAAAAGATTCCAACAGTTATGTAGGCTACGCCAAATAAGAAAGAGGATTAAATATGAATTAAAACGATAAACTTTCAATATATTATTCAATTGAACGTAACGTTTTAGTCTCGCAGGTAAATCATCATTTTGTCTCAATGATTTTTTTTTTATTTAGTGATTATTATTTAATAACTAGCAACAGTGCCCGTTGTGGTTAAATACAACGGTCTCTAGTAAAGTAATGGTTATGAAATCCATACACCACTTTACTCTCTAATATTAATGGTACAGTTTAAGCACATAACATAAGAATCATACATTTAACATAAGGAACACACTTTAAACATAAATGCAAATTGTTAGCAACAACATTATTTAACCAAAGAAAAATTAGATAACAATATAACAATAAGCTGTTGAATTATTAACACATGTTTCGCATGATTAGATTATGCATACTGGTAAACCAATTATTGCCATCTATAAAAATTATTGGTTTTTCTTTTCCGAGGCGGGTTAGCTCTTCTACCCGACCGATTTTCATAATTTTGGCCTTAAACTAAAGGTATGGACGTTGCGCAGATTTACCATCAAGCATCGGCATTCATTTTGACGTATATTTCGAGTTATGCACAAACTGCCTCCCTGTACATTTCTTATGGGAGTTAAATTTTGGTTTTTCCGAGTTCAATGTTTCGCAAGCGGGCGATGGTTTACAGAAGGGCTCTACTACCTGCCCGATTTTCATAATTTTGGTCTTAAAATAAAGCTATGCAAGCACATATTTGTCATCAAGCATCATCATTAATTTATCTAATGTATTAATCGACGAAAGAATTTGTTTTCTCTTCAATTAAAGATGTATTCCAGCAGTTCTAATTACATTATGCATTTTGGTGAAATACCAGCTTTCATTTGAGCTATTGATTATTAAGATCGGACTACCTAAAGCACACTGCTGAATCACGAATCAACAAATAAATACAACAGTTTTAGTACCTATCTGCAATCAATGATACGTAACTCTATTTTTATTTAAGTTATTTTATATGTCTTGGTCTTAAAATACTTCAAAGGCTTTCACTTGAGATATTGATAGTTTTAATCAGTTAAGTTCAAGATACTGTATCGCTCAATCAGAAAATATAAATTTGATTATATCTTGGATTTGGAATTTAGTTTTAGATACATTTACTTAATTCTAATTACGTTATTCTATTTGTTTTGACCTAAGAACCCTCATTGAAATACCAGCTTCCATTTCATTAAAGCACGCAGCTAAATCACGACCAACACAAATTGTTCAAAAAATGGAGTTATTTATCATCGATTTATAGCCAAACGATCTTGCTTGCAACCTCAACAGTACTTTCATAATTATTTGCAAATATTCACAAATTAGGCTATCCAATGACCTATTAATTTAAAAAATTGGTTCAGTAGAACTGTAGATTTAACTGTACAAAGTTTAACAACAACATCTTTAATTCAGTATTTTCTCACTACTATAAACCTGGGGGTTGCTTAACGTTTTTGGAAATAACTGTGAAACGGCGAGGAAATCGACCAAAGTGGGGTGATATTCTGAAAGAGAATAAAATTTCCTACAAATTACTGTTATGAATTTCTCGAATATACTCAATAAAGGCAGCCTAAAGTTGGCTAAAAATATAGAATTGAAAATATAAACCTGGAATAAAAGGAGTTTTAAATGTATTATTTTTATTTTTTATTTTTTTACCTTAAATAACTAATAAAATCAAACTTTCATAATTATTTACAAATCTACACAAATTAGGCTTTCCAACGACCCATTAAGTAACGAAATCGGTCCGGTAGAAGTCTAGATTTAGTTGTACAAAGTTTAACAAAAATATATCTATTTCAGTATTTTCTCACCACTATAAATTTGGAGATCACTTAGATTATTGCCAATATCTTTTAAATGGAGGGAAAATCGACCAAAGTTAATGTAATATTCTGAAAGAGAATAACATTTACTACAAATAACTACCATGCAATTCTTGAAAATACTTAATAAAGGCAGCCAAAAGCTGGCTACAAATAGAATCTTGAAAACAGAAACTTTAAAAACCCAGTTTTTAATGTATTTTTGTTATTTTTAATTTTTCATCACAAATATTTAATAAAATCACGGTTTTATAATTATTTGCAAAAAAAATGGGTTAGAATTTCTAATGACCCATTAGTTAACAAAATCGGTCCAGTAGAAGTCTAGATTTAGTTGTACAAAGTTTAACAAAAATAAATCTATTTCAGTATTTTCTCACCACTATAAATTTGGAGATCACTTAGATTATTGCCAATATCTTTTAAATGGAGGGAAAATCGATCAAAGTTAATGTAATATTCTGAAAGAGAATAAAATTTACTACAAATAACTACCATGCAATTCTTGAAAATACTTAATAAAGGCAGCCAAAAGCTGGCTACAAATAGAATCTTGAAAACAGAAACTTTAAAAACCCAGTTTTTAATGTATTTTTGTTATTTTTAATTTTTTATCACAAATATTTAATAAAATCACGGTTTTATAATTATTTGCAAAAATACATGGGTTAGAATTTCTAATGACCCATTAGTTAACAAAATCGGTCCAGTAGAAGTCTAGATTTAGTTGTACAAAGTTTAACAAAAATATCCCAAACTCAATATTTTCTTATTAACTATAAATTCGGAGGTTGCTTAGCTTTTTTGCAAATAACTTTTAAATGGTGAGGAAATCAACCAAAGTGTAAGGTGATATTCTGAAAGAGAATACAATTTCCCACAAATTGATACCATGCACTTCTTGGAAATATAAAAAAATGGCAGCTAAAAGTCGCGCCCAAATAAAAAGTGTGAAAAACGCCGTTTTCAATGTATTTATAATGGAAAACACGTTTTCTTTAATTTATCACCAAAAATCATAACAAAAACAAACTTTCATAATTATTTGCAAATCTACACGACTTAAGCTTTCCAACGACCCATTAATTAATAAAATCGGTCCAGTAGAACTGTAGATTTAGTTGTACAAAGATTTTTAAAACTGAATTATATATAGAATAGATATTTCATCATAGAAGGTGAGGATTTTTAAACTATCGAGAAACTATATCTGAGTTATGAATAATGTTTTAGTGCATTTTACATGTCGGGAATGAGCTATTACTGTAGGTCTCAGGGTTAGATCTAAATCCAGGAGATACTCAAATTTTCGTTTTGAGCTCCTTGGTTGTAATAATATATAGATGTATATTGGCACAATAATTTGAACAAAATCATCCGATTTTTGTGAAATGTTGGATGGACGTGTGAAATTACATTAAATCCAATGAGCTCACAAACCAGCATGATCAGACTATGGGAACGGGAGCTTATGAGGTAAAGATTTGTTTTATTTACCCAATGATTTTTCTTTAAAAAAGAGGTCGGTGGCCTCTTTTATCCTTACATTCTCCCGTCCACGTAGGCTATGGACCTGTGTGTGAAACGTCAAAAGGTCTTTTTACTTTATCGATAAAAAGTAGAGGCATTAACCATGATCCGAACCCACGCCTTGGGCCTTAAGTCCATGACGCTACCGTCTGAGCACTGATTTATGAAGTTTCTTTCTAGACAATTTATTACAGCTTAAAACAATAATTTAGTATATTGAAGCGTTGTTATGCACTTAGTAGTTAAGAAGAAATCCCCAAAAATAGCTGTAAATTTAACATCATCACGTTATTTATAATGGACAGTGCGAGTAAATAAAATGCTAGTTTTCTTTTCAATAACAATTTATTTGAAAATTTATTTATTTTATTCAACACTAACTTAAAGTGTTTGCCATCATTACAAAAATGCCACTGGCGTAGACTTGAGAATGAAAACTATTATACATTTCCCTGTAGCAAACCTATGTACCTACTCGTTAATCTAATATTGTTTAAATAGGAAATACGCTGGTTGAAGAACTTTCAAACTTAAAAGGGAGGATGTTGTGAGAACAGTTTATTTCATAACACCTGTTAATTTCTATTAATTATAATCATATGTTTATTTGTTATTCTATGTTTGTAAAAAGGTAAATAAAGTTAGTTGAGTTTGAGTTATGACATAAAACAGTGCATCCACTTAATTCTTAGTAAAATAGTAGACTTTAAATCTAATTGAGCATACAAATTCGGTTAGTCTGCAGGTTTTCCTCGGTGTGGCTAATTTTATCTGTAAGAAAATTAGTAATGCAACCAATACAAAGCATTTATAATACTGAAGTTAAAATACCATGTTTTTGGATCTGTCATCAATTCTTTATTTAAAAAGAACATAGTTTTTCTAAAAGACAGCCTTCACATGCTGGAATTATTATTATAAAAAAAATTAAACTGTAAGCCAGTTACAGATTAAGTTGGTGTCCAAAACTAAATTTTCTACATGATCTTTCCACTAAGATATTCGACGTGACAAAGAGGTGATGTAGTATACAGTAAATCGTTCTATCAGCTTGATTTGGTTAAAAACCTGTCTGATATAAATCAGTAATTTACTTCAGTGCAATCTGTCAGTGGGTTACTTCAAACCCGTCCATTTTTATTTAAGTACTATTGGCAACTTAAATAACATTTGTTGATTATTCCAATATTGCTTTGTAGTCAACATGAAGCTGTTACTGTTGTTCACCCTTGTGGCTTTGGGTAACTCCTTCCACATTGCCTTCCCCGAGGATGACGAGGCCCAATGGGAACTCTTCAAGGTAAGGCATTCAAAACAAAGGTGGGTATAGTAACTATAATCCTGATCAGGTGATTTTCTAGGGAATTTACATGGTCTCAAATGACGAACCTTTACATTAATTATTTTATTTTTAAATTAATTTTCTTGTTTTGTTAGTGTTTACATAAGATATATATTGTATGTAAAAGAATTAAATAGAGTTGAGAATGCAATTGTAATTCAAGTTGATCTAAACATTTATAAACAATAGTTCAATTTGGATACTAAATAAACCTTCTGTAAGTAACACCAAACAAATTTACCCAATTTTATAAGATGTTTGTATAACTTAAACGTTATCTAAATAATGCCTCTAATCTAATAGTTTTACAATAACTTTTATTCTAAATTAACTCCGTAGTTTTAGTAAATATTAAATCGAAATAATACTTTTTACACCCTTCAACGTTGAATTCCCATCGTGTGGTTGAATCCAGTTTACAATTGTTAAAATTTAGCAATACAACATAAATGTATCAAATAATACTTTATAATATAACTACAATATTAAACAATTATAATATTCCACAATCAATTACATTTTATGTCAACTTTTATCTTACACCAAAACAATGTTAGTAAATTAATAAATTTCTAACATTGATAATCTTTTATTTCAGATCGAACATGAGCGATTGTATGGAGATGAGAAGGAGGAGCACACTAGAAAGGAAATCTTCATGAACAACCTCAACTTCATCCGTGAACACAACAAGAAGCACGAGCGAGGAGAAGTTACCTTCACCGTAGGAGTCAACCAGTTCGCTGACATGGTGAGATGTGAAAATATCTATCAGTTAAACTATCTTCGTAATGATAAATATGTACCTATTTTATGATATTATGACTATGGTATGACCGTATGCGTTCTTTGTTTTTTGGCCTATGTGGTCATGTCATTGTAATAAGCTTACAATAGCAAAGACCACAGTGGTAATGAAGAAAGAGCATAAATACAAACTTTATAGCCCACTAAAGCTAATCATTGTTATGACAAAAAGTATACGTGCGTTATACAATGTTAAGTACTATTTCCCTCTACTTTTATTTATAAACATGTAATATTTGTAAATGGTATATTCGCTGCTATGAATGAATAAAAATAAAATAATAAGTAAGGTGGTTTTATGTATTTTTTCAAAACATTGAAAAAAAGGAACTGTATCGAAAATATGTTTATAGGATATTTTAGATTGAATACATTACTAAACATAATGTATTAGGTATTGTTTAAGATTTTTGAGCTAATTGAACTGAACACAGAAATCACTTCGAAACCCTCTTTTTCGAGTTACAAGGTCACAAAACAGAATATTACCACCCAAACTTTCTTTGAACATTTTCACACAAAAAATGCTTTCTTCAAATAGGCCAACTATGTATAATAATGGATATCAAAAACATTTCAATTATAAACTGTAAAAGTACTGCGAGATTCCAATCAAAAACTTTTCATAGAAATTCAAGTCAGCTGGGCCATATCGATTCAATGTATACTTCACTCTTTAAAAGCCAATGGCTTTTTATATATGACTAAATTGCTTTTAGACTATTGAGGAGTTTCGCCAGAGGATGAATGGATTCAGACTGCCCGAGGACTACAAGAGAAACGGAACCAAGTTTGAGTTCGACGAGAACCTCGAAGTTCCCAAGACTGTTGACTGGAGGAAGAAGGGAGCCGTAACCCCCGTCAAGAACCAGGGAAATTGTGGATCTAGCTATGCATTCAGTGCGGTAAGTGGTTACATAAGTCTGTCACAAAAACATGATCTACCGGGAGGAGTGTAATGGCGGAGGACGGGGGAAATGGAACTTTTGTATAACTCTCAATAGGGAACTTTCTAAGCCCCGGTCTCGTTACTGTCTTATTACTCAGTTTTGATATTTTTATTTATTTATTGGTGGCCCATAAACATTAGTGTAGTATTTGGGCCATGCTTGGTGTGCAAGGTAAAGGTAAAGCAGAAAACCTTGTTTTTGTTTAAATTACGTATTTTTTTATTTATAAATATGTTAAAAGGGCACTGTCCAAACCATAATATTTTAAAGTATAATGTCCTACATTTGTTATTTAGCATCATATAATGCAATGTGTAATTGGATCGTAAGGTGAAATAACTGTATGAATTTGGTTATTTGTCATATTATCATCCAAACCCTGGTCGTCCTACTGAGTAACATCAACCTTATGTTAAAACAAACTTTATCCATAGCCAAATGAAAAATTGTTCTTGGTTCAGAGACAATCTTTATTTTTATCAGTGACCTTCAAATTCAATCTAAATTTTGATCAGTGCGTTGTCAGATTCGACCTGTGGATTGCGTCTCAGACTTCGATGCAATATGGTTCGATCCATACTTCACAAAAAATATAAATATTAGGTTAAGCCTGCTCTCCCAAAAGCCTTATTTATTCATCACTTTACCCTTATATCTCAATTAGATTTTGTTTAAAGAAATATTTATTTACTAAGAAGCATTTGCACGAAGTTTACCTAATGTCTTTAATCTCAAAATTGTATGTCTCCATGTTATATTTTCAATTAAGAGTTTAATTTAAAATATCCTTTTACAAAACTGATTAATTATAGATGATTTCAACATTTCGAGTATCTGAAGGACATAGTGTTACAAGGGAAGGATTCATAATATGAATCCTTCATATTTATATAAACCAAAATATTATTTTGGTTTTGCCCAACGACTGAGGTGAACAATGAGGCCCTTGTAATTTTCATGATTCATTTCCTAAAACCATCTCGGTCACCTCTTTTGTTTCAATTTCGTCTCGACCTTTCTTTGAAAACATCAGCATCCTGCGTGTGAGGGATTTATTTATAGTATTAAGATTTATTGTAAAACATACATTCATTAAGCCTATTCTGCTAACGCTAATAAATACTTACCTAATAATGCATAACTTATTAAAATATTGTTTTATTTACGACATTAACTTTTAAAATACGGAGAAGGAAAACGATGATGGCTTGAGAATATGTTTTAGCCTAAATTAGTTAAAAGTTCAGTTTTAAAATAAAAATAGTTTTTATTTTTTTAACCGAATCATATTAGTGTACAGCTAAAGTGTTTCTTTCGTAAGCATTAATCTTACTGTGTATACACTTAGTTTTATTTCAGATAATTTTGGATGAGGGCATATAAATACCTTTTTTAAGTAAGGAACATGGGTAAAAAAATATTTATTTATTTTAAAAACATTCTGGCAATACAAACCTTAATAATACAACATTTCCCCCCCATAAATAAAAAATATAATAGCCTACTTTTCAATTACATTTCTTGCTAAGAAATTCTGAGGTAAAATGTTCTACCTTTTTCAGACCGGAAGTTTGGAAGGACAGGTCTACCTGAAGACCAAGAAGCTGGTGTCTTTGAGTGAGCAGAACCTTGTTGACTGCAGCTATGATCAATATAACGATGGGTGTAACGGAGGATTTGCGGATTACGCATTCGATTACATCGAGCAAAACAACGGAATTGACACAGAAGCTTCTTATCCCTATAAAGCTGAGGTAAACTTAAATAAGATACAGATGTTTTGTGGATCGAGTAATAGTAAACTATTTACTTTAGGCTAGTCATAGATCATTTCACTACCTTTGTTGATTCGAAGGATTTTAACCCGAGACCCAGGGGACAGACGTGTTGAGCCTTACCACTAGAACAGCTCAAGTCTCGTTACTACCTGGTTGAATTTTTCTTGTCTTTGCATGATTGGAAATAATTATTTATACTTTACGCACTGTTTCACAATCTTTCAAGCTTCCATGAAAGATCTGAATTTAGTACATTTGTTAACCTTGTCAGCTGGCTCCCTGACGAAAAAACCATCGTGTTTTATCACTATGTATGCCGTAGGACGTCAGACATTAGTTATATTAAGCTAACCTCAACTTTACAGGAAAACGAATGCAAATACAATGCCAAGAAAAAGGGCGCCACTTGCTCTGGCTACGTGGATCTGACTGAAGGGTATGAGCAGGAAATGCAACAGGCCGTGGCCAAGATTGGACCAGTGGCTGTCGCCATCGACGCCAGCCAAAGCTCCTTCATACTGTACCAGAGCGGTAAAATTAATTATAACTACACATAATTATGATTGCTTTGAAGTAGTACATGGTACATAGTACAGTGGAATTCTTACAGGCCAAGGGTTTCAACCTCAGTAGTTTAGCAAAAGATAGCAGTGACAATCAATAAACATGAAGTGAAGTCTTGCTTCCAATGCTGAATCCAAGAAAGATAATGAAAGTTGTGCACTTTGGTTCTACATAACAGCCAAACATTCAATGAAAGATGCAGACGGTGGTTGACTCTCTGATCCAATCTGGTTGTAGTCTCTGAGAGTTTTTACGTTAGGAAACACTTTCAATTTACTTTCATGAATCTGACAACTTCATGAGGCTTCGTAGAATATCACTGTCATCAGACGATTTCCTTTTTTTCTTTCCGAGACAAAGGTTTTGCCTGATTTATCCTACACCGTTTACTCTTATCGTGTCTGCATGTAATGGTGGAAAGCATACTCATAGTTAATATTTCTGAAATATTACTAGTACGTGATGAGTGTTCAACTATTGACTGTACTCCACAATATACCACAATAGAGCTTACAAGGTCATCGTGGTGTGAGGAGTACCACTCAAACAAGTTTGTAGCCTTGCCAATGGTTAACTTATATATCATCAATGTTATAAGTATAAGATGAATTTATAGTCTGTGTGATCACACCTGTCTCCTAAATATCTAGCTAAAGTAAGTACGTAGGGCCAATGGTTTAAGGTCCGGGTCAGTTCCAGGTAGACGAAGGGTCAACAGGTTCCATCATACAGACTATAATAGTGGCTCTGGCTAGTACCGTGAAGACTACAATAATAATTAACTATTTGCTAGATTCTAGTTGTATTGCATGACTGAATGTGTGCCATTGTGGTTTCAGGAGTGTACAATGACCCTTTGTGCTCCAAAAAGGTCCAAGGACATTCAATGTTGGTTGTCGGGTACGGCACTGCTAAAAAGGGAGGAGAGTACTGGTTAGCAAAGAACTGCTGGGGAACCTCCTGGGGAATGAAGGGATACGTCATGATTGCCAGGAACCACGACAACATGTGCGGCATTGCCTCCCAGGCCAGCTACCCCAAAGTCTAGACCATCACTTTACCATGGCCAATGGCCAGCTACCCCATAGTCTAGACCATCACTTTACCATGGCCAATGGCCAGCTACCCCATAGTCTAGACCATCACTTCAATATGGCCCATTGCCAGCCACCCAACAGTCTATAACATCACTATACATCATGGCTAGTGGTCAGATCAACGTCTTTACTTTGTCATTATTAAATAAAATAAAACTAATTTGAAAAGTAAATTTACTGTTCAGATATAAACATTTTACCCTACATTCTCCATCAAAACCCATCGCATATGAGCCACACAGGCTCATATCTAGGACTTTTTGATTAAAAATATTATAAAACAAGTAGAGCAATAATGATTATTTTTGGATTTTGAATACAACTCTAATTAGTCAACTGTATTTTCTGTTCTTTTATTTGAATTTCACGCAAATATTATATAAAATTTCCTCTTGGGCTTAAAAATATAACTAAGTAGTAAATAGTTTCTGTCAATGGTATTCTGATGCCCACTGTTTAAATCTTAAATTTAACCAGTTCTAGAGTTAAATAATTAAAACTGAAAACAAAATCATGCGGTTTTGCTATTAACTAAAAAGCAATCGATTGCGTTCTTATAACCAAAAGCACACAATGTAAAATGAGCGTTTTTTAGCTTCAATTTGTTTGTTTTACCTGGTTAGGGAAAGATCACTAAATGTTATGGATTTGAATCTTATTTTAAAATTACTAAAACGTAAAACGTAGGTGTGGCAATGTGATCTTTCCATGAAGTGTTAAGGGAAAACACTATAATGTCAGGTCAAGAATTTCAAAGGCCAAAGTTAGATCAGTCATTTAAAAGATTCATATTTTGGTATAAAAGTAAGCAGTTTGGAGATCCCATAATATATTCATGCCTGTCAAGTTGCATTAAGTGTTCGAACGTTGACAAAATGTATATTGGACTGTATTTGTAAGACTGTGAGGGCAAGCAACTTTCAGCTCAACTTTTTTTAACAGATTTACTAGCTGTAACCCGCGGGCTTTGCCCCGTTGAACTTCTTAATTTTCAAGATGATCTCGTTCGCATGGCTCAATCACGTCCTGGTTGAAGTTCGTTCGCTATGCTCACTCACCTTTTGGTTGCAAATTAGCTGTTGAAATTGATGGTGTATAAACCTATTCCATGAAATTCTACACGTATGTACCAAGTGTCGTGGCAATCGGTTCAGCGGTGTCTGAGTTTATCACTGCCAAATATATATATATACAAACATCCTCTTTTATACTTATAGATTCGTAAACAAAGGTATTTGTCCAGGTGTATACCTGAAACAACGGAAAACAGATGTAATTATTTATCATAAGCTGGATTTAGTAATATTTTACAAATAGGTATTGTGTACCTCATTATTACGTTAAATAAGAAGAAAAATAGCAGATTTGTATTTTGTTCTATTACTTCAATTTTAAAATGCTACTTTCTCCCCTTATTAGCCCAAAGTTTATTATTTTGGAAACTCGAGTGTTTAAAGCAGTTGTAAACACTTGAGTGTATTTTATTGGCATATTCTGTTACTTTGGCTTGAAAGACCACACGAAATCTTGGCTCTAATACGGTCTGATGTCCAATCTATATTCAGCGCAAATAGGTTGAGATACAAAGTGCTTTCTAGGTACTAAGTTGCTGTGTTTTGGAGCTTGAAACATCTTAATGTTTCTGAGATAGGCCAAAGCCCATTCTTCTTCACATCAACCAATATATTATAGGTTTTTTTATATCAACTTGGGTTTGTATAAAGAAGAAACATAATGTGATAAAAAATAAATGTCGTTGGGGCAGATTTACTGCTAATGTGTTTTCTAGAGCTACAATGTAGCTTAGGTAAATCGATTTAGTAATATTTACATTACTACAAACTTATGCTTTATATTATCATCTCTAAAAATTATAACATTTAAAGTAAACACGTTTTCAAAGTATTTGTAGGGATTTGCAAGTAAGTACGTATTTGAAGTAAGTATATTTGAAGTAAGTATATTTGAAGTAAGTATTATTGTAAGTATTTGAATATTCACACAGTCTTGGGCCACTTCTACAATATTATAAAGAGGTGCTGAGAACATATTTTTGGCTTGCAACAATGAATTTGAAATAAATGCATCAAAATCCACTTGAAAAAATTTTTAAAACGCTTTCCAAATGGCAGGAGCTACACCTAAAATGCAAAACTGATCATTGGCACAATAATCCATCTTTCATTGTTTCCATTGTTTCCAGAAATTCTCCATTATTCATGTCACGTTGGATCTTCAGATGAATTCCGAACTTTCATACGGTGTTGTTTTGGGAATTCATTCAATTAAATCGTCCATTGCAAAAACCCCACAACCAACATTTTTTCGCAGCTGTGTGATTTCTGTCCCATGTATTTCAATTTGCACATTAATATGCTTACAAGTCGGAATCAGAAAAAAAAAAATTTTACGGGCTTTATGCAATAAAGGATTCAATTTTATTGTAGTTTAATGCTTCAGTAATTTTTTTAACCAATAGAACCATTGTCCGGTGTTAAGCTGTTTATTTCAGGAAAACCCTGTATGTTAAAATGATTGAATCTGTCAGCCAAACATTGATGTTGTAAGCTGTAAGCTCTAAGCTACTAAGGTTAAAGCAATGACCGAAATGTCAGAAATCTTTGAAATTGTCAAATCTTGAAATCTCCATTCTGCGATTCGGGTGAAAATTAAAAAGGATTTCCTTTTTTTCTGGTTACTAAACTATAGTAGGAATATTTCAATTTTGAAATAGCAGTTGTATTGAGTAACTAATTCTATGTGAGAATGACATCGTCATGAAAAACTTTAATATAATAATAGGCTACATGTAAGGAAGTTTTTATGAGTTTATAGAAATGTCTTGGTCTACGATTCATGTTGTTTTCTTTTGCTATAAGATGTAAATCAGCATGATCAGACCATGGGAAAAGGGTTTTATGGGGGCTTTATGGGGTTAAAATTGGGTTTTCTCATTTTGACCATTAATAAATAAAATTTCCCAATTTCTGTCTCAAATCTTTCCTATTTTAGGGTCGAAAGTGTCATGCTTGGTTTATATGGGACAGTTTTCTATCCAACATTCACATTACAGTAGTTTTTAGGAAATTGTTTTAAATCAATTACAAATGAAGTTAGGCCAGTTTATCCGAAATTTTAGGTTATCATCCCTTTTCTGGTATTATACATTACTTAGTTGCTTGGTTATGGATATATCTTTATAAAGTTTGGCTAATATTTCCATTTCATACTAATATGTTGTCATTTTACAAAGGACACATATTACCTTCCCCGTAGCATAAAATCCAACTACTCATTTAATCTAATTTTAATTAAAAAAACAAAACAAATCTGACTTTTAAGAAAATATTATCAGGAAAATTGAAATTTTCTTAGTATGCAGGTTTGCTGTGGCGGGGTTTGACTGCATGTTTGCTACAAATCATTTATATGAAGTTCATAGGCGTATCTGTGATAAAGAGAGTGTTTATTCAATTATTATCTAGCCTAAATTGTTTCATCTTAGTATTTCAATCTTGGTGTTCCTATGGACCAACAACCATAATACCAATTATCTAATGTGTAAACCAAATATTTATTCTGTTAAACACTTAGTAAACCATGAAAAATATATATAAATATGCAAAATATTCCAAAGTGCAACACTGCCTTTCTTCTAATGAAAACTAAATTTTCAATAGTTTTTATTATCATTACTTTTTTGTTACTATCCGAGCATGTTAATCCTTTGAGGGTTGTAAAAATATATGACAAATCACACCTGTTATTTTAGCGAGATTATTTAAAATCTCAGTATTCGTGGTGAACAATTGTAAGAGGTACCATGTAAATTATTCTGGATGTAATAAATCACAACTAAGCGGCTGCAAAAATAACAGTGTTTTCCTACTTTAGATCAGATTTACCTTGCAGATACAAACGGAATCGCTCAAGGCGGAGAACATGATGTTGTTCAATAATTTAAGTAAATATTAATAAAAACATGTTGTCTAACAAAAGGTACTGCAGTAGTAATAAGTATAGTAGATCTTTTCCTTCTATAGTTGATATTGGATTTGTTTCTTGACATACCTGTGAATCTGATCCTTTGGTTTGTCAACTAACCCAAAGATGCAATATTTAAAATCAAGAAATATTATTTTAAGTATGCTTCTATGACAATTGTAAAAAAATATTAAATGTAGGATAGAAATTAGGCAAATCCAAAAAGAACCATTATAAGACTTATATCACTTAGTTTATGACAATGACGTAATCATGTATATGATTTCAGCAAAGTAGTTCTAAGATGCCCAAATCCCAGGAAGTACAGACGTGTTCTAGACAGCTGTTGATTAGACAATATCCTCTGTGGCTAGCAGCTGACAGTGTGGTTGTGGTCTCGTCTGACTGTCTGGGTGGATACAAAATTTAAACTTCTAAAAATCTTAGCGTGTGAGTTTTATTAGCAAAAGTTCTTAAATATGACAAACGCTCCCCTCATAAGGGGTATTTAATTCTTTATAAATAATACTAATTCTTCAGAAAAAATGCTGATAAGCTGTTTTGAAACATATGATTAGCTATGTAAATAATGGTGTTTCCTTACAAGCCCAAGGGAATTAGAATTAAAAGCAGTAATAACAATGATGTAAACACTCTGAAGTTTTTGGGCTTTCACTTGTAGTCAAACTTGAAGTGGTTTTCACATGTATATTTTATAGTATCTAAAGTCGTTAAAGGCATATTTATTTACGATAAGAGATCTTAGTTCCACCGTTTCAGTTGATGTCCTTACAGTATTTGTATATACTATGGGCACATTCATAGCTATTTATCCTATGGTACCTAACTGTGAGCCATAAGTTTTTATTCTTACAGGCTGCTTTTTACTTTACAAAATAAGGTGGTAAGGTTAATTTTTAGTACGAATGGAAGAACACATTGTAAGCCCCTTTTTTTAGTCTTAACATTCTCACATTTCCATATTTGTTTGTTTTAGCAAGTTTGTTGTATGTAAAAGAAAACATTTCTTACTTTGAAAAGATATCTGATGTGCACTATTGTACTAGATCTAAAGATAATCTGTCCACACTAAGGCATAAGTATACAGCCACTCAAAAATGGGTTTGAGTACGGAGGTGTTAAACTGTACAATTTCTTGCCTGTCTCCA